TCATACATTGTTTCCATATAAAAAAATATTTCTCGAGGGAGCCCTTATGTGAATGTCTCAAAACGTTGACTGACGTGCTCCAACTTCCGAAAAATTAATCTTCTCGTAAAAAAGCTTATTATTACTCAAAGGCTTTGTTTTCGCGTGAACGATTATATAAGCTGTGATACAGGATAAATTAAGTTTGTGTGCGCGTATCCAACATCCAAATTAAGTAAAACTGTTGTCTTCTAAAGCTTACTTTTCATGAGCGCATTTATACGGAGTATGGCCAGCAAAATTCACTTGAGTCGGTCCACATTTGTTACAGCTAATTTCTATGTTAAATTATTATTATCAATCAGTTTTCGTAATAGATATATATATAAAAAAAACTACTTTTTGCCATATAAAGATTTACTTTACCACCAGTTCATTAAGTCCTCTTTGCTTGGTAGTCCTAAATAGTTTTTTAAATTTGTTAACTCAAAAAGAAAATTTCCACACATCCCTCGCATGTTTCTTTTAATGGCTCTAATTTCTCGGATGATTTTGAAATCAAATCTTTTTGCTAAGTACTTCGGGTGAAACTTTTCGACTGCTAATTCCGATTTATCAGCAAACTACTCATATCCGATAACTAACTCAGTTTCAATTCCTAATTTGGTTATTTCTGAAAATAAAGTTTTCAAAGGGTTAAGCTCCCTAAAATATAGTTGTGCGCCTGGACCTGATGGAATTCCATTATGTGTACTCAAATCTTGCGCTATCGAGTTATGTGGTGTTATCTCAAAGATTTTTAATCAGTCCTTGAATTTAGGAGTTTGCCCTTTGTGTTGGAAGCGTAATTTCCTTATACCTATTCACAAAAGTGGAAGTACACAACTTGTTGAGAACAACAGAGGCATAACCAAGTTGAGTGTCTTGCCTAAGTAGTTCAAGCGAATTGTGACTCAGCATTTGGCCTTTGCCATTAATTCGTATATTTCTCCACACCAACAAAGCTTTCGGAAAGAAAGATCTACGGTCGCCAATTTGTTAGAGTTTGCTTGTCATGTTTTCAAGTTTTTTTCTAGTGGCTCTCGCACTGATGTAATAAACATTGATTTTAGCAGGGCGTTTGATTCGGTTAACATTAACTTACCTATCTTTAAACTTCAAGCGTCTCGCTTACTTTTCTAGTTAGTGAAATGGAACGTCTCCACAATAGGCCACTACGGACTCTGTTTAACTTCATCACCTCGGATGAATTCCCCGTGACGTTTGGCGTTCCTCAAGGCAGCCACTTAGGTCCCATTTTATTTAGTTTATACATTAAGGATCTGCCATCTGTGGTTAAATCCCAACGGACCTTAATGTGTGCTGATGATGTGAAACTGTTTTCTTCCTTCTCTCTAGAATCGCAATCACATCACCTTCAAAGTGACTTGAATAATTTGGTTGCATGGTGCTCGATGAATCTTCTGAAACTAAATCTAAATAAATGTAAGAAGCTTTTTTTCTTAAGAAGGAAGTAGTTCATTACTCAGCATTTCATTGATTCGCACAAGTTGGAGGACGTCGATTCGATCACAGATTTAGGCGTTCTATTTGACCATAGGTTACGTTTTAACTTGCATATTGAGCTCTCGATAAGCACAGCTATTTCCGCGCTTGGTTTTGTAAAGAGGTGGTCCAAAGAGCTTGACGATCCTTATATTACGAAAAGGCTGTACATGTGTTTGGTTAGACCTATATTCGGAAATGCCTTTGTTGTGTGGTCTCCTTCATATGGGTGTTATGTAGATTCAATTGAATCTGTTCAAAAACGATTCTTCCCTTAGGAATTTGGGTTGCGATCCGATTGCACCTCTTCCCCCCTATGAAAATAGCTTGCTTCTGTTGCCCTCTGTCCCTTGAGAGACGTAGATTTATTTTAGGCGTTTCCTTCGTAATCAAAGGAAAAAGATGGTCCTATTGACTCGCATGCATTACTTAGTGAGATAAGCTTCAATGTCCTTAACCGCTTCTCTAGGCGCTTTATCTTGATTAAGCTTAGTCAATGTAAATATAATTGTGAGCTGTTTAACTCGCTCAAAGTTGTTTGCGGAAACCTAAATGACGTCTATCACTTGTTCTCATTATCGAACTTTTTAAAGTCCATTAAAGCAACATTGTTTAATATGCGCGATTTACCTATGTCGGACTTAAACTAAGTTTTATCCTTAATAAGTCATTATGATTCGAAAATGAATAGTGGTTTACTGTTATCGGTTGCCAAGCTTTTGCATGTTTGCAATGCTTCATTTGCAATTTGCTCCTGCACTGGTTGTGGGTGTGGCTCTTTGCTAGTTGTGTACATCCTTTTTTTCTTTCCTCTTTTTTTAATTTTTGTTTGTTTTATTATAATTATACTAAGTTTCAATATTAATTAATATAAAATTTACTTTAAGAGTCAATTGCACTCGACTGTCGATTTGTTGAGTTCCATGTATAAGTAAATAAAGTAAATAAATAAACAAACAAAAAAAAAAAACATAAATAAATAAATATAAAATTGTGAAATATTAAATTATAAAGGTTTACATTTCATAGCATCGATTATACAAGAGGGACTCGAAATATCGGTCTAGCCGGTTCAAATTTTGATATCGAAAATTTTTACTTAGCAGCTTTCGTTGAAAAATTTTGAAGGTTAACATTTTTTTCGTATAACGGCTTGTTCAAAAATGCGGCATTATAAGAGCAGCGTTCATAGAAATGATTCGATCCAATGAGTTTCTTCGCGGGCGAAAATGCGCCAGAGCACGAAACTTTGCTACAATATCTCAGAAATTGCGTCCTAAAAATTAAATACGAAAATACTTGAACAGACGTCAGACGGGCGTATGGACAAACATGTTTAAACCGATTTAGGGAACGGTTCTAAATCGATTGGTGTAGCAAAAGGGTTTTCCGACTTAACCCCTTCTGGACTTTACGTACATCCCGACAAACTTAGTAAATTCTGTTCCACAACTGGTGAAGAGTAAAATGAGCGGTAGCGACAATTAAATACTCTACACGAGTTCACTTAACACAGTTCTTCACCTACTTTCGCTGCAAAATAGTAAAAATTGTGTTATGTTGCTATATAAATGTTAAATTATCCTTATTTGGGAAGAGGTCCGAGAAATATAAATGTCGGTATATGTTTTAAAGTTATCGAGCAAATCATTGCGTACAGAGAAAAAGACACGTCGATTATCTGAATGACTCTCAGACGCATACCTTTTGTCCGTACAATTATCGATTGTCTACCGTTGCTAATTAGGAAAAATTTAGAAATAAAAATTTGTATACTGAAACACAACTTCCGAGAACAGTTGACCTATAGCCTCTGTTGCCATTGGCAATAACTAACAAATCATTGTAAAAACCATATAGCAACGTTGATCGATATTTGATAGATCGATTCGAGTATTAGAAGAAGAAAGGAATGCAGAGACTGGGTAACGAAAAAAAGTACAGAAAATATAGAAAGCTTCCTTACACCGTGCCGCGCTTACTAATAACTTGAAATCCAAAAAAAAAAAAAAAGTATTTTCCATTGTTTTTTAAATCTGCAATCGACGGACTCAATTAAGAGAGAATGCAATTAACAAAAATCTTTCAAATTGTCTTGAAAGGGTGCTAAAGATTCGCTCAAAAACGAAACACGTATTTTTTTTTTTTTTTGTAAAACTGTTATAAAAGTTCTTAAGATGTGTCATAATTTTACAAAGAAACCTTTTCATTTTGGTTAAGTATTAAATGCATTTGATTCATTTGATTTATGCACTTTATATGCACTACTATAATATATGTCATCATATTTTAATGATTCTTATAACCATTTTCAAATATTTTTATTTATATTTAAGAGTTAGGCAAATGGTTTCATTATTTACGATGCAAAGGAAGATAATGGCGATGATGAAAAAGGAAAAAAAGAAGAACACAAAAGCGTTTTTTTGCTCAAGGAAAGTTACAATTTTTTTTTTTTATTACTTTTATTTTGAATTGAAGCGAATTTCCTCATTCCAGTATTAGATCGATCAAACAATGCAAGCGATTTACTTAGCAAATGAGAAATAGAGAGGTAGTGATTAGAGAAGTAAAATATAATGAAAAATATACAAACAATGTTAACGTGAAAAGAAAAAGAAAAAACATTAAAAACTCACAGTGCGGGGAAAAAAACGAAAATGGCTCGAAGCCAAAATCTACACAAATTTCTTGTAGTTTTGTAGCATTTTTATTTTCAAAACACACAATTTCTTAAAATCTTCACAAACTTTTTGCTATATTTTTTTTCTTCTTTTTATGTATGTTTGCTACACGCAAACAGCAACTTATTGCAAAAGTGTATAAAATGTAGGCAATGCTAGACGGAAAAGAATAAGAACATCCATAACAACAACTACAAAAAACACACCAATTGTAGCAGAAAAAAAAATAAATAAATAAAATCGTATAGAGCAAAAGAAAAAAAATATATATGTAAAAAATAGAAGAAAATTTTATTAAAAACATTTTCTACATTTTTTTTTATGAGATTTTCTTTAGTTGAGAGAATATCGTCGCTTAGTTAACATCGTGTAATTTACGTTTTTTTAATTTCGTTTTGTTTCTGTTCTGCGCCAAAAAATTGTAACTTAAATGCAAAGCAATTTATTTTTTTTTATAAAATAAACTTAATTCATAAAAACAAATAAGACAAAATTTAATTAATTTATCGGTTAGTAGAAACTTTTTTGACTTAAATAATCAATTTTATGAAACTAACAGAAGAAATAATAATAATAAAAAATACAAAACATTATTTGAGGAAATGGAGATAAACATAATCTAAGTCAGCCATTCTTCAATCTGAAATAAACAAAATAAAAAAGACTTTAAATAAGTGCAAGAACAGCTTTCGGATGATATTATTTATTTTTGTTGTTTTTGTTGTTGAACACAAAAAAAAAACAACAGCAAAAAAATTTGCTACATTTAAAAAAAAAATTAATTTAATAAAATAATCTTAAAAAATTAAATTTTTATTATATAATAATGATAAATTCATTTATATTTGAAATATATTTCATTCTGAATGAATCATTTCATTCTGAATGAATCATATTTGAAATTTATGATAAATATAAAAAAATACTTGATCTTGAAATATACGCAACAGCAAGCACCTTAAGGAGGTTTCGCATTTACTTACGCAGTGCATAGTTCCTGGTTTTTAGAAAACTTTGATATATAGTTATACTCTTTAAAATGCATTACGTGGACCAACAAACTAAAAACGCACGTATAAAGTATTGTATGCTTTGTTTTCTGTGGGACAGATTTCTTCTAAAATGTGAAATAACATACGGATTCCGGTATACAGTTATAGAATGCAGGGTAAGGATGTATACAGTCGATATATATGTATGTATATATTCACGTATATACACGCGCGTACATATATTCATATAAATATATATTCACACTCTAGCTAACGCCTACGAAAACCATTTATATATAATGTGGAATGACGTACGAACTTAAGTAAATATATATATGTGTATACGATTTCAAAAACTAGACGATCAATCCTATCAGTGCTTGCTGTTGTTAGCTGCTGACTAACCAAGATAAAAAAAAATTAAATGAAATGAAAGAAAAAAAAACTTTAAAAGCAGTAGATATGTCAAAATTCTGTTTAATTTATTACATCCAAAATTTTCATCATCGCATCTATTTCATTTAACTAACTTTCTTAAAAGCTTTCTGTCGGTATAATAAAAGTTGTCCACAATGTGCCGAATGGTTTTAGCGACCCTCCCCCTCCCCACCAGAGAGCGCTCTTAAATTACTTAAGGTTAACCGAAATGCTGTCAAAGCCAATTATTTTTGTATGTTTTCATAAATTGCTTAAAAAAGGTTGTTCTTCAAAAACTTTCGCCTTTCAAAACATTTTAAAGCCTTTCAACTTTACTTCAAAAAAAAAGCAATTTTTTTTATTTATCTTTATGTCTATCAAGTTTAACAAGAAAGAAAAAGAACAAATTTTTGTAGGTTATAATATTACGAAACATTTTAACTAAACCAAAAGAACAAAAAACAAAAAACTAAATCAATAAATAAATAAAGCGAAATAAATAGCGAAAAATATAAGATATCGTGAAAATTTTCTATCTCTTGCTTATTTAAATAATTTTATTTGCTTTTCTCTCGCTCGCTCCACTATTCTACTTTTATTTGAATTACAAAAAAGAACCACCTACGCGTGAAATAATCGAACTAAAAGAGACTAAGAAGAAAAACAGCAAAAGAAAAGAATTATGTTCGGCTTGGATCGAATCCTGTGATACTCAACATTGGCTTGCTTTTGCACTTTTGCCGGGTTTTCTCTAACATCTGCTTTTTTTGCTAACGTAACAAGCGTGAACAAGTTAAGGTTGTGTGGCGTTATACTTCTATAAGCGTAAAATGTTTATTAATGTTATAAATATGTTTTGGCTGATCATATATCATAACTAGAAGCTGACATATTTTGAAGCCTTTACGGTAGTATACTTAGAGGCTATCTTATTCTGATAAGTAGAGAAAATGATGTAAGGTACTTGAAGATCGTGCTCATGATAATAAAATTAGAAAAGTAATGAGCATACGGAAATATAATTTTTCCATTTCATTAATAGTTGGCTCGCTAGCATTGAAGAGACGAAAGGATCTTTTATATTAATGCTCAGTTTCTCTCTCCTTATAGGATAACTTATGAACCTTAGAGGGTCTGGATTAACCGATCTTTAAACATCAATAGGAGAAGGATTTTAAGACAAGTTTGGCTTTTCTGAAGAATGTTCTGAACTTTTTCGCTACCAACCGCTGCATATACTTAACACAGGCATTGCTTACCACAGCCCGACTTCACGTATATGCGTTAGTTTAAATGAACGTTTATTTTGCTTTCTTGGAATGCTCTAGATACCCATAAGTAAAATTTAATCCAATTGATCTCATATAAACACAAAAAGATTTTGGTTCGCGATAGATGATTTCCCTAGAGAGGAAACTCTAACAGATGGAAGGAAAGATTTAAGCAAATTGATTCCACTTAACTAAATCGCTTCGTGTTAATTAAATACCGGTGCATAAAGTTATTATATGTATATTTCCACCGAAAAATGTAGCAAATTTTAGGTGAACAAGTTAACAGAAATATGGAATAAACGCTGGAAAATGTTTCTGTTAACAACGTCTAGGGAACCTTAAGATGTTATAACATGGCAAAGCCTTTTAACTTTGCACTAAAAGGAAAGAATTGGAAGTTAACCTGGATTTCCTGAACAAAAGTGATTTCAACAATCAAACAGATGGACATCGAAGGATAACTAAATTGAATTTTGAGGGAATGAACCAGTTTTTCATATGAACTGAAAATGAGTTTGTGAATGCAATTTCAGAACTCTCTCTCAGGAAGCTTCGACATTGCTGGTGTTCTGTCACCGTAAACTATAGACTGAGAGATAAGCAGACAAGTTGATAGTTTGATTCCGTTTATACTATTGTTCGAACAGATAAACACATATACATATATACATACACAAATAGATATACACTTATAGATACATGTAAATGTGTGTAGAGTCACATATATACTCGTATATGTTCGATCAACATGTAAACGGAATCAAATATGTATACATGTCAATATGTATATACATACATGCAATATACATATATACATATGCACATATCTTAATTTATGTATGTATGTATATATATGACATTGACTAAAACATTTATAGAAGGAGATGCATATGTATTGACGAAAACGAAACAATTCATGTTACCATGTTTTGGCCATTAGTGTCATGATATTCGGATCATAGTATACAAGTTACCGTTGAGTTAACGACGCTTTACCAGAAATCCAGATTTTTATATTGCTTTGAAAATGATAAAAGTTATTAACTTATTGTTGGATGTGTTATATATTTACACATATATCTATCTACATACATGTATATATATGTGTATCTACTATATACATATCTGTTATACTATACCATATATATATATATATATATATATATATATATATATATTTTATGGGCGTTTAAGACTGACTTTTATGCACTGCAAACATTGGACAAATTTTGGGTTGTGTGTATATGTAAATGTAAAATCTATAATATATATTTGTTTTTCTTCGTCTTGTTCTTACAACCTGTGCATTATCATTCATTAGTTAGCCCAAAAACAATAACGAAATAAAGCAAAAATATTAAGAGAACGCATACGAAAAAGCGAGAAGTCAAGCGTCGTTTATTAATAAACCAAAATACGAAATATAGTTCATAAAGATTAAACAGACAATATCGCTTTCTTTGTATATATAAAAAAAAAATTATACATATATACATATAAAATCTTACGTAAATTTCCCGTATATATATATAGATATATATACATATAACGAAATTTGAAATCTGTAAAAAATCTTTAAACGAGAACAATCATCATTATCAGCAACGTTAGCTGTGGAGGAACATATCTCTTGCTTCTATATATCAAAATATTTGAAAACATTTCAAGGTGAGTATATTTTTAGAAAATATTTTTGCTCATACAACCAAATTTCGAAACTGAACAAATTTCTTAACGAAAAAGATAGAAAACAAAAAAAAAAAAAAAGTTGGGAAACAAAAATAAATAAAAGCAGGAAAGAACGAAACAAAAAATAAAAAAATCTTAAATAGTGAGATTGAATAGATTTGTGAGAAAATAAAGGAAAAAAGAATACTTCAAGAGAAGGATAGAAATAGAAAGGAAAGACCAGGAAGGAAATATATATCAATTTCTTTTTGCTGTATATACATAATAATAATCGCATACTTACATACCCATATATATATTTATATATATATATACATATATACATATGTATATTTACATGTATGTACATGTATATACACACTAACATATATATAATTACATGTGTATATGCATTAAAATATATACATATGCATATATAGTAATTAATTGTAAGTACTTTTTAAGATAAGAAGAAATCGGTTTAGGTTAGCTTCCAAAAACCTATGAAATCTGAAAAAACCATTTTCTTTTTTTTACTTTGGAAGTAGTATTTAGATATAGTCAGTTGTTTTATGCCCTCTAAAAGAATAAATTTCGCCTTGTCGAGCTTTTGCAAAATCAAATGTCATCTATTTAAGACTAATGCTAATACTCACTGCCTTCGCCTATTTAAGACTAAGAGATACATTTTGGCCTAGTGACCGATCCCTAGTGGTAAATGAGAACAATCTATCTACTGGTCGCAGTTGTTTCGCATTAAAGCAATATTGGCATTCCGAACGACTAGTCAAATAAAACCGTTCTGATATCAGTTAAGTCCTGCAAACAACTCACAAAAAAATGCGTTGTGTCTTTTGATGTCTTTGTCATGTTGCTCGCTGTACATCTATAAGTGGTATCCTCATTTTCTAAGGTTTAATATTTCGAAAGTGTTGCTCCCACGCTGTGCTATGCACGCTTGTGCGTTTATGCGCATAACTAACCCATAAAATTGAGTCTCCTTTAGTAAGATTTATTTCCGAATATGCGCAGGTAACGTGTACCCATTATTCACCCTACCGCGAGTACAGAGTATGTTTATTGAACCACTAACCAGATGGACGAAATGATTGTAGAGCATAGATATAATGCTAATGTAAATGTTTGTCTGTAAGATAAAACTAGCAAACGAAATAACAAGTTTTACATATCTTTTCTTAATGAAGTGAAGAATTATAAATATTATCTACACACATTAAACGGTTGACAAATAGGAAAAATGTTTGTTAATGATATTGCGAAACAAAAAAGCTCAGCAATGTATCCATAATTAAAAAATATTTTACAACTATTTAGTGAATAAAACTGTAACTTTCGATCTGAATGTACTATCTTTAAACTCTATGCATTAGTAATAAGTTATTACGGGAAGTGTTTTTAGGATTTCTGAGTGTGGTGTATTTTGGTTTATTCTAACCAAATGAAGTCGTCACTAGGAAAAGCTACCAACAACAACTAATGCTCTTGGAAACGAAAAATGGCCGCAATATGGCAAAGGTTATGATATCGTGAGTTTCCAGCACGACGAATCTCGACATCGTATAACAATACTCGCCCAGGAAACGTAAGCAGTACTAACCTGGAACATGCCATAGTCTCTGCTGCTATCAGCAGACATTAACACTGTTTTTAATCGGTGACTTGTTATCTGATGGAATACGATTTCCCTTTGTAGGACGGCAACCCCAAATTTAGAGAGGTAATCTGATGAGATTGAAAAGACAGGAAAACCATATTCCACCTAAGAGATAGAAGACGCTAGGTGTAGCGATATATAGTAGTTGATGTTAATGTAATGTTGTATTAATGTATGTTGAATTTTAGTAAAAAGTCAGAAAGTTATGCACAAGTCCAATATATATATATATAGGCTTTTAGTGGCGGGCGTCAAGCAAGACTCTCAAAGCGACGATAGTTTGTTATAACTCTCAGTTATCAACTCGCTTAATAATACTAATAGAAGCTTGGATAGTTAATCTCATCAGAGACAGCTCTCAGAAAAGAGAAAAGAAAATCAGCTTAAGACGAGCATAGATTTTTTACTAATTATTCAATATTGCAAAAACGGAAACGTGTTTCTTTTAGTTAAATTTTAAAGATCGCTTAAAAGATGTCTTAAATGTGTCTACTAATGAAGAGGAAAAACTCTTCTAATGATTCTCGTCTTAGCTATCGTATTTTCTTGTTAGTTAATATATTCCACGATGAACAGAAAAAATCGTAGTTTCCGTTGCGTAATGATTACGCATCTCTAGAAATTAACACTTTTATGATTGGTCACCAAAAATTGACAATGAATGAGTTTATTCCGAATATTCGATTTAGGTATATTCCTAATAAACAATATATATTTATTTTCTTTTTGTCAGGAATCAATAATCCTATATTATTTATAAAAAAAAAAACACGCTGTCTGATCATGTTTTTCCACTTCAATGCTTATCAGTATATAAAAAAAAAAAACAAATAAATGAAAAAAAATATATATTCGTTTTGGTGAATCATATGGTATAGAATGTTGCCATAAAATGAACAACAGATTTACGTATAAAATTTTATTTGACGATTAAAGGCGCACACCAATGTATACCTGCCTATGCGCATATATATGTAAGCGACGATGTCGCAATAATCGTTGATAACAGCAAACGCTTATTGATTGAATAAATAAATAAATGTATATAAAGTGGAAATTTTCATCAAATTGCATGTAATTAATGATTATATTATTTGATGGATTCATTAAAAACAAACGAAAATTTGAATCAGTTAATTAGATACGATTTTCGTTTCAAGCAAAAGTTTATTTAAAAGAAGTGCAATAAATTTTCAAGATAAAAAGGGGTAAGAATATTATAGTCGGCCAAGGGTCACTACACAATTATTCACTTGCTTTAGTGATGAGATTATAAAAATTACACATTATTTTCATGCAAAAGAATAGCTTTCATGACAGCCCGCATGTCAGAGGATGCTTAAAACACCACTTGACGTAATTCAAGTTTCAATAAACAAATTTAGTTCCTAAAAAGTGCATTATATTTTAGTTTCCGCCATACAAGAGGCGGCTTTTCATGATAAGACATATATATGTTAGGGGCAAAATAGTAGACCTATGTGATTTAAACACTCTACAGTCAATTTTTGTGCTAAATTGCTGCTAAGCACCAATTATCATCATACAATACTAAAAATTAAATCCCTTTCTGAAGGGTTTACTATTCATGAGAAATCTTATGTGGAATGGGGCCTAGGAAATAGATCCATGTTGTTCAAATTTTGGTCCACTAAATTTTTAAGTCAAATTATTTCCATGAAAAAATATTGGTCGTAAGATTATCACAATCAGGTCTTTTTGGTATGTAAGAATTTACAAATCTTGAAAGCGGTGGGTCACAAAGAATAGATCTGCGTTGTCGAAATTCGGTAAGGTTGCTTTCTTTATCAATTTATATCAAACAATTTCCAACATAAAATATTGAAAATTAGATCTTTTTTTCATATAAAGACACAGCTTTCGCAGGAAGGGTGATACGACAGAGGCTTCAAAACGTTGACCCACCCGACTGAAAGTTTTTACGCCAATTTAGACTGCCGAAATACCGTTATTAAGCAATTTTTGTTGAAAAAATATGAATCCAAACCATTTTCAATAGTCTTCGTCCTTTGGTCAAAACACGCGAGTGTACCGCGCTTGTTGGGCATAAAAATATGTAGGCGGACATCAGAAGAGCAGGCAAGCTTGGTTATATTTCTATAACAAAAGATGGGCCTGTTTTAAGCCTTTCTGGGAATTACCTGGGTCTAAACAAACTAATAGTGAATAGTATGTTTGAGAGGGGATTGACTATCTATATAATTCTATTTAGTTGAAATTCCATTCAACGTTGATAAGTTTAAGTCACGTAACTATGCTAATACTAATTACATTTGTTTATTAGTGATTAAAATGCTTATGAAGGGTGTCAATCCATAGATATAATTAGTAGGAAAAAAGAAACATATAAAAATATTGCCGTCTGCTATGGCCGATCTTTAAATACTCTGCAACATTTCATCTATTTTTCAGTTAATTTTTGATAAAATATCAAAAATTATATCTTCCTTTCATCTAGATGCTTATGTTTTAAACGCCTACGGTCTAAAGTTAGCAAAATTTATTTTGTCTCCAAAGATCTTTAGCAGGTCTCATCATAAATCGCCTTACAATTCGTAAAGCCAGTTTTATGAGAGGTGATTGAGGAAAGGATCATATGCGACCCAAAGTTTTCGGATTTGTATTATATGGCAAAAAAATGGTTTCTATTAATTTTTCATGACTGTCGACCTTTCTAGACTATAACACATAGGTGCACAAATTTCATAGAAATATCTCAGAAATTGCAAATATGTTGAACACAATAATGCATAAATAGATTTTTGATGTCTCAGGTGATGTATAACATAAAATGTTTTGATTCTTTAATATAAGGATTGTTACGAAAAGAGGTTCAATATTTGGGGTCCACATATATTGGTGCTGAAAAATTTAATTTAAATGCCATTTGAGAGGTTTTTGAGAATTGAGATTTTGTTAAGATACAATAAACTGTTGGTTCCGCAGGAAAGTAATGCTTCCAGAAGATTATGATGAGGGAATTAACAAAACCATACCAAAGTCATACAAGGTAATTATCTCACTTTGGTGAGATTGAAAAGTAATTATATTTCATTAGCATGGCGAAATGGTTGATTCCCTACTCAATTCTCACCAGCTAACGCGATTACAGCGCGCAATTGATGTAAAACACCCCGAATTGATCTGTTCGAATAGCGTAATCCTCTTGACTGCAATGATATGTGAAAAATATTGATCGGGAAATTTTTATGCATCTAAAAAAAAGTAACATTTATTAGAGGGCCATCAAAATCACTTGTTTCAGTTTATCACAAATAGCAATAAATTGATTTTTGAACATACT